CGAAATCGTAGAATAGACGTCATTCAGCATTAGGTCTACTGTTTGAAGGTGTGTTCGCACAGGCTGGAAAACCTTTACCGCGCTGTCATTATCAGTGCTCTTTCCTGCATTAGACAGAGACTCGTGTTAAACATTCTATGAATGATTGGATCTCCCTGTTTGATTGCAAGTCGGCTGTATGCTTGATTTATTGTCCCAGTTTTCACATCCTTGAAATTGAGTAAGCGAATTTTGAATACGCGAGCACCCCAACTCCGCTCTTTTTGATAAATTCTTTCCAAGATATTTGTTGTTGTTGAGCTAATGACCATTTGCTACATCTTGCATGACCTATTCCGATTTGCATGTCTACAAAGGAAAACTTCATCTAACTCTAGTACGGCTTGATTACCACCCTATCAAGTTCGTTCGTAGCTAGATGGAGCTATTGGAATCCTTTCACCCATTTCGCCGTCCTTCCACACCGTTACTGTTGGTCCCACACAAATGAGTAGATTCGCTTTTCGCCTACAGTCCTGCGTTGGGAATTGATAAACTGAGCCTCACGCAGCGAGCGATTACCGTACTAGCACCTAGAAGAGACGCGTTTTACTGTTGGATGCCATTTATGAATGGGCCCAGTAGTGTAGTCTTCCCCCTCCTAGAGTATAGATGGATGTCACTTTCAAATCGATTGACTGCGAACTACTTAGCACGGTTCAGTTGATAAAAGTGGTTTTTACTTTCATCGAAAGCAGATTAAAATGCACCAACGAGCGTTTTGGTGGACTTAAGTCCTCCAATTCGGCTACCACTTGTGTAAGTCAAATTTAGGCCTTTCTATATGCAAAATCAAATTAATGGCGCAAGACAGCTCAGAGTCTGCTGCAGTTTAGGGCCCATAAACAGTGAGCAAACGGCAATCGCTGCGTGCTGGTAGGTAAGATGCCAGCGACTGAACTCACATTGCACACATGACCTCATTTCATGCATAACAATTGCATTTTTAAGGAAACTAAAAAAATTGCTTAGACCTAAAAGTACTTGGAACTGTTGTGGTGCCAGCGGCTGTAAAATTATTTATCCCTGTTCAGCTTCAGCGACTAGATAAAACATTTCACTTAGAAAAAAAAAAAAGGAAAAGTAGATGTGTACTTGGTTGTTAAAATTGGTTTTTGTTATAATACCCGAGACCGTGCTATAACCAGTCCAACAAGTTCCCCTAGAGTAAAATAAGTTGCCTCTGCATAGAGCAGAATGGTAGTTATGTGTAAGACTTTGAAGATTACACGTGGCATCTGCAATGATGGAAAGCCACGGCAGTAGAAGCAGTTCCCGCAGATTGCCAAATAAGCTATTAGCGGTTGTCTTGGGGTATCGTATCAACGATGCCAAAACCCAGAAATCAGATAGGTTGGTTGTCTGAAGTAAGTAATAGTAACGTAGGAATATAACCGCTACTTAGACTAGAATGGTTTGAGGGAACAAAGTTCACGCAAGTGCATTGGCCAACATCGAATCTCACGATAACCATAGTGTAAAGAACATAAAGAAACGAGAAGTACAAACCCTGCTTTTGGAGGGGTGAAGCACCACCCTATTACAGTCATCCCAAGTGCGTAAACTCTGTGCAAAAACTAGAGGGAACATAGAACCTCGCAATTGACTAATTATGCTAAGAGTGTCTTGCCTACGAAACAGTAGAAACTATGGGTAACAGAAGTGTGGTACACATAAAACGCCATTTATCGGGTATTTCAAAATATCAAACGTTCAACAATGGTCTTAAAGTTTGGAATGCTCAAAAATAATCTAGTATGGAGAGGGAGTAGTCGATGGCTAAATGCTACCTAGAGGTGTTTCCACCACTCCTAATAATGCTGGCGTCCGGGAGGGAAGTCTGTTCGCAGACAATGGCAGTTTTTCGGAAAGGATTGCAAAGAGACAATGAAGGATTGCAAGTGGCTGAAGGAGGCACCTCCCGAATCAGCTCAGTGAACATGTCGATGAGTCTTTCCAAACCAAACAAGTAGCCATCCTCGTGATTACCAGCCACCCACGATTGGTGGTGATCTATCTCCACAGAGGGTGGGAGGGAATGTGTTTTGGCAAAGTCTATCATCCAAATATTGGCATTCCCTGTCCTGTCGTGTACAAAGAGCAGTGAGGTGCCAATCATCTGGGAAGATGAATAAAAATGAAAGCTAAGTAACGGCTTGATGTGAGATGCTGCAATGCTATTTTCTCGAAGGTGAGACAAAAAATGGAAAGTACCTGCCGTTTCTCACAAAAAGCAGTTTTAAAAAATTCAAATACGTAGATTTAAAGTATTGAAACGCTCTCTTAGTTACCTAAAAGGGTAATATGTCGGGTGACAAGATCGCAGTGAGGACATTACCATCAGTCCTGAAAGATCGTCCGAGCATGAACACACACCTCGGGCGCCCTCGCACTTTTGAAAGTGGACTTGCAAAAGCAGTGACCTCACTGCTCCAAAATTAAAGTTCCATTTTGAGTCAAGCTACCCGGTTTGGAATTGGTAAAAATGTGACTGAGCAAAGATACAGATGGTAAAGGGAAGGCGTATCTGTTCATAAGTAATGTAGGCTAACGTATTTATGCCTGTCCACCATTTTGCATGACATACAGGAATTACCTATTCATTTTGGGGGGAGGGGGGAGGAGATTGGCGATGTGATCGCTGTGGAGTGTCAAACTTCTTGGACTAGTAGTGTCAAAGACATTTTTTACAAAGTAGGAAGAATAAGACTAATCGATACTGTAATTTTTGGTGGATGTGCTGATTCGCGGTTAAGTAAAACGAATTTGAGACAATTACCTCGTGGGACTTGAAGAAAGAAGAAGACTGAAGAATCTTCTGCAGTGATGTTAATCTCCTGAGGTAGGTTGCCTACAATATTATAAAGTACATAGATTATCAGTCAACAATTCCAATTCTGTCAACAGGATCCACTTCGCTAGTGCCTTTTACCACATACTG